TTTTTAGCATGGCTGACTAGTATACGCTCTGTCATAACAAAAGCCTTTTCATTTTGTGGCCTTGTTGATAAGCACCACAAGATCCACTATGGACATCAAATACTACTACATATGCTTCACTTTCACTAAGACACTTCAAAAGGACCCCTTCCTGTGTCGTTTTAAACAATTCGTTACCCATGATGGTATAACTTAGTGCCCTATATTTGACTTTTCAATCCGTTGTTCATGTAGGATTTTCTAAGTATTCCATAATAGATCTTCGCCAGTCATTGTTCGACATATGGTCAATGGCGAGAACGTCATACTCCTTGGATTTCATGTACTTCATTATCCCAAGTCCCTATACTCTCGTAGGTTTGGATGTTAGCATTCTTTGAAGAGGGATGTTTGTTGGGACTAGTTTTTCTCTAACCTCGATTAACTCTTCTAAATTTTCCTTGAGAACTTTGTAGCCTGAAGCAAGTTGAGCTAAGTCATTTGCCTTTTGATTTTTTAGTTTGTGCATGGATCTAATTTCGACAGAGTTGAACTTTTCTAAGAATGATTGTGAGGTTAGCCTATCAAAAACCCCATTCGGTTTAGGCATTAGCCTATTTAAAATCTCTTAGTTGTTGTAAGAAGGATGATGGACATATCTTTAAAAGCTCAAGACTTATTATTAGTGGAACTCTCAAGAGAAAACTCTTGGGGACAAGAGTAAGCCAAATCTTAGGTCGAGCTTGTATAAATCTGTAGTGCAATCTCTCTAACTCTATCTCTTTATTTTATGTAATGTATTTTTTATTTCCTTTCTATTTGCATTTTCTTCCTCTTCTTTATTGATTTATCTTTGTTGTACTAATATAAACCATTTTTACAAAAAAAAAATTTTAAAAAATTTAGAATTTTAAATATCATAGTTCACTCCTCTTGTGCTTGAAGTCACTTAATTAGCAAAACACCCAACGTTCCTCACTTAACCAGACATAACCCGACAAACCTCTTAAAACCACCATGTACACCAGAGAAGTTCACCCAAGCCAACGAAGAACCAACACAAATAAAGCCAGAAAGAACAATGCTAATGTAAGATGTTTGTGAAAACATGAATGTGTTTAAATGTGAAGATTGAATGCAAGTGTTTTTTGAATGCAATAAGATGATATGAAGTCAAGTTTATGCACTCAAATGTCCATATACCAAAAGAAAAATGCAATGGATGTTATGGTATCTAAGTAGATTTATTCAAAAACCATAGATGTGATGAGTAGGGGTATTCATTGGACAATTAATTTTTATAACTAATCTATAATCATATATGATCTATATGTTATAACCGATTTTTTATTTTTTAAAAAATATTTTTTTTCTTTTCAAAAAAACATTTTTTTAGGAAATGTATATTTAAAAAAAAAAAATTCTTTTTTGAATTTTTTTTCAAAATTAAAAAAAAAATTATTTTTCAGATTATTTCTTTTAAAAAAAATCATTTTTTTCAAAAATAAAAATCATTTTATTCCGAAAAATTATTTTTTCCAAAAAAAACATATATATATATATATATATATATATATATATATATATATATATATATATATATATATATATATATATATATATATATATATATATATATATATATATATATATATATATATATATATATATATATATATATATATATATATATATATATATATATATATATATATATAGGAAATTTGTTTTTTTTTTAATTTTCAAAAAAATAATTATTTTTCAAAATAAAATCTTTTTTTGGTTATTTGAGTGTTTTTTCAAAATAAATTATAAAACCGTTTTTTAAAAAATATTTTAACAATATTTTTATTAATTTTATTTAAAAAATAGAAAATTTTTATTTTTATTTTGGAAATGGATATCTAAAAATGGATTTATTTAAAACCATATTAATAAAATATTTAAAATATGGATTTGATTAAAATCATACTAATTAACCACTTCTTTAATAATCGAATTTGAATATTGATATGGATAATTCAAATAACCAGTTAATTAGTGATGAATTATAATCAAGAAGAACAACTCTAATGAAAAATACTAAAGTTGATGAATTGTGACAATAATGGAATGCATGTTTAATTAAGAATAAGATGTCCTTCAAATGAAAGTAAACCCATGACTCTTTGTAAGAAGACTACATGAATGCAGTAGCGCCATTCTAGAAAGAAGGGAGAGATTCTCTCTCTAAAACATGTTAGAAATCTGAATGTATATTGATCGAATTGTTTTGTAAAGGATGTTGCATCTAAACATATCAAGAGGAGTAATGTGATGAAAGTGGATTTTCTTTTGAAAACAAAAAAATAAAAATATTGTCTAAATCCTTTAAGTTATTTTAAAATAACAAGTTAGTTCTTTAAGTTTTTTTTTTGTAACGCTTTGATCCTTTATATTAACAAACGTTTGCGTCGTTACCCTTTTTAAAAATTTCCGTTACAAAAACACATATGTGGCACAAACGGAGCACATGTGACATTTAATTGAGATGAGTTGGCACTGAAGGTTGCTGATTTGACTTTTGTCTTGTTTCCTATATTACTGGATTTCAAAACTCTAAAACTTAATATATTTCAAGAACACTCATGAGCTCATAAACACAAAAATGGTAAAACTCTGAATCTTAACAATAAATTGCAAACTCATATACCATTTGAATTGGTTTTTTTTGCGCTGATCATGATTATGTAATTAATTTTGCATTTAAAGTGTATTTTGGTCAGATCAAACGATTTTTTATTATGTATTTCGTCCATTTTTTCCCTGATTCTTATGAACCATAACTTGTTTGATAAACTTGATTGCATATTTGGATTCAGGGTGAAAATCCAAGTCCAACAATATATAATTTGTAATCTATTTAATTGCTTTTGTGATTTCCATATTTTTGCTAATGAATATTGTTAAATATGATGAACATTTCATGAGCTCATGTAATGGATTGTGCTTAACAGAAAGAAATAACTACAACTATCAGTAATTAATTTTGCTTGCATTCAATTCCTTCCTTCCATTCCATGTGTATGATAGTACTTAAATAGTACAAATTGGAAATAGAATTCAATGACACTTCTAACAAATTTAGTGACTCACCAAAAACAAAATGATGAGTCATAACAAAGGAATATTCTAGAATGCTATTTTACTAATTCACGACAAAGTCTTTGAAATACTTAGGCTTGTTCCTATTTCTTTTGGGCCTTGGTGTGGGTATGTTCTCTTCTTCCTCTTCCCAATCTTCTTGGGCTTCCTCCTCAATTGCCCCTATAACATCCCCCTGATCTTCAAAACATACTTTGTTCTCATGGTGGAAATCCTGATAGCAAGTCATGATGTGATGGTAGTTCTCCCAAGTTGTATCTTCTAGGATTAAACCATCCTACTGAATCAACACTTGTTTTTCATTCTCAGCCCCATGAAGACGCCAATCTAACACATCCAGGGGTTGAATCAAGGGTTGGTTTTCTACTGCTTTAGGCAGCAGTTCAAATCTAGGTGCATTGCTGCCAAATCAAGGTTTCAACAAGGATACATGGAAGACAAGATGTATCTTGCTAGTGGGCGGTAAGTTGAGTTGAAACGCAACCTCTAAAATGACCTTTATGATTTGAGACGGATCATAAAAACGTTTAGAGAGTTTATGAACCCGCTTTCCTGCAGCAGAAGTTTGACGATAAGGTCTCAATTTCACAAAAGCCATATCGCCTACCATAAACTTATGGGGAATTCAAGTGCGATTAACATTTCTTTTCATGATTTCCTGGGATTTGAGCAATTTCTTTTTCAACTCTTGTAAGATAGATGTCCGACCCATTAGCATTGTATCCATAACATGTATATGTCTTGTGCCTTCAACATAATCAGAGAGGAAAGGAGGTTGTCTTTCATACACAATTTAAAAGGGTCAATGAGAGCATAACTTTTACTAGATTGTGCTTAACAGAAAGAAAAAAACTACAACTATCAGTAATTAATTTTTCTTGCATTCAATTCCTTCCTACCATTCCATGTGTATGATAGTATTTAACTAGTACAAACTAGAAATAGAATCCAATGACACTTCTAACAAATTTAATGACATCGCCTAAAACAAACTGGTGAGTCATAGCAAAGGAATATTCTAGAATGCTATTTTACTAATTCATGACAAAGTCTTTGAAATACTTGGGCTTGTTTCTATTTCTTTTGAGCCTTGGTATGGGTATGTTCTCTTCTTCCCCTTTCCAATCTTCTTGGGTTTCCTCCTCAATTGGCCCCATAACAGCTCATAAACACAATAATGAAAAAACTCTGAATCTCAACAATAAATTGCAAACTCATATACTATTTGAACTGGTTTTTCGCGCTGATCACGAATATGTAATTAGTTTTGCGTTCGATTGTGTATTTTGGTTGGATCGAATGATTTTTCATTATGTATTTCGTCCACTTTTTTCCTCGATTCTCATGAACCATAACTTGTTTGATAAATTTGATTGCATATTTTGATTCAGGGTGAAAATCCAAGTCCAACAGTATATAATTTATAATTTATTTCATTGCTTTTGTGATTTTCAAATTTTTTCTCATGAATATTGTTAAATATGATGAACATTTGTGAAAGTGAAGAACATGTGTGATTTTTAGATTTTCAGATTTAAAATCAACAATTTTCAATGCCAACTCATCTAAGTTAAATGTCACATGTGCGCCGTGTGTACATATGCGTTTTTGTAACGGAAAATTTTAAAAAAGACAATGACGCAAACATTTGTTAAGATAGATAACCAAATCGTAAAAAAAAACTTAATAGAGTAACTTGTTATTTTAAAATAACTTAAAAAACATAAACAGTATTTTTGCCAAAAAAAAATTAGATTTCATTATACTTTTATTTTTGAGTACGCAACATAAAAGAGAATTTGAAACACATGATTTCTTTCTTCTCCCTCTAAAAATGTCCCTTGTTACACTTCAAGAAACACATTAAAGTTACTAAATTATAACAAAGAGATGAATTTGACAAGAACATCAAATGCATTTTGAGAGGCTAATGATAAAAAGATAGATGCTTCATTAGTCAATGCAGAACCACCTCCAGCTAAATCAGATAATGCTCTAATGACAATGAAAGGTATTTTGTGTTGGAAACAAACCAAAGCAACGGCAGCACTTTCCATGTCAGTTGGAGTAGCATCAAATTTGGCCTTCAAATGATTTCTATAAGCCTTGTTATCAACAAACACATTGGCACTTACGCCATTCTTTACTCTCACCACCATTGGCTTTCTTGGCAAGCAAGTTTTGTTAACACAACTATTCAATTCAACATTCTGTAGTAAAAAAGTGAAAAATTAGCCTCTAATAACTATAGACTTTCATTTGTACTAAGACTCCAAAAATGACGGACACGTCTAAACTATCCAATCTCGACCAAACGGTTTAGACAGAGATAGTCGATTAGGTTGAACTCACCTTGAGCTTTCTTGCGATTTCAAAGTAATTTTTGTCAACTGGAACCCAAAAAGCACGCTGCTTGACTTCAGGAGTTCCATCCACAGGAAAAATTTGCTCTGGTTGATACCAAACCTTGTTCAAAAGATTTTCTGGTGATTTGGAATGTTTTGTATAGTTATTGTAATTTGAAAACTTTAGATAATCAAACTCTCGGCCGAAATCTCCAATGTCTTCACCAAACCTCTACTCAATTACATGAAAAAAATTAGATCAAGTTATTATATATAGTATACTGTAAAAAAAGTTTAAAAAAGAGATTTTAAACTTAAAGTGGAAAATTTTATTGATCAAAGTCCAACTAATTGTTATATTACAATAGTTTTCCAAAGGATTCAAACTTAATATTTAAAGTTATAATTAGACCCTTAAATAATTTGTAACATATCGACAAATATAATAATCTAAAAAATAAATAAATATAATCAGATACTGATACATAACAGACATCGAATACATATTTATTTAAAGAGGTCGATGCTACAGGAGACTATTTGAAAATCTCGACATAATTGAAGTAACTTTTGTAAGTACCTGCCAATGCCAGAGTCCCGTGTGAGCCCAATATTGTGGAATAGTCACATCTCCAACTTGGAATTTAGAATTTACATTACCAGCAATTCCATAATGAAGAACTCCTTCTACATTAAACAAAGTAAGCAACAATTGGGTGGCAAGACCTGCATTTAGCTACAAGATAGAAAACCAAAGACTAAGAAAAAATAGTAAAAAATATAACCATCCATATAAGTTTATGTAAAGACATAACTCATTAGAAACTAAACTTACCATACCCTCTCCACTCATAACAACAACAACCTTCTTCTTTTCCAATTCACCAATGCGAAAATGTTTTCCTACGATGTCAAGAAAATCAAAACGATGTAAAATGTTCTATAAAAAAATCATATATATTAAGCAACATATTATTGTAAAAATTACCGGCAAAGTCAAGGTAAGGAAACTTGTTATGAGGCAGAAAGCTGGATGATTGAAGAAGAGGTTTCAACTCATAGGCATTTGGCACAACTATACCAATATATGGTCCTTGGCAATTGATATTACTGATTTCTTTTAAAGAAATTTGAGAAATTTCACTATAGGCCTTGATGATACTTCCCAATAATACAAGCACGAGAACACTTAGAAACTTCATTTTCTTCCAATGGCTATATCTTTTCTGTATTCCAAACATGATAATATATATATAAATACAAACAAGAAATGAACCAATAATAAAAAAAACAAAAGAAAATTAATTTGGATTTGTTTTCATGTGAGAGTCAGTCAAACATGTTATCTTATTTCTTATCCATATAAGTAGAAACATCAGCCTATAATTTGGGCCCCAACCCACATGTTAAGAGGGCCTACCAAACATAAAGGCTAAGTGAAATATAAGTTTACCTATAATTTATAATTTATGTGATTTTATTGTTGATATCAATTTATTTAAGATAAAATTTGACAAAGATAAATTATGTGATGCTTATTAAAAGAGAAAACAAACCAAATTAATTTTTAAACTTAAGAATGTGGTGTCTATTTTAAAGTCACTATAATTGTTGTATATGGACCTGTTTGGTTCATCAAAAACGAGAAGCTTTAGAGGTAATGTATATGCTTTAGTTATTGTTGATGGTTTTTTTAGATATTCTTTGACATTCTTTATAGTACAGAAAAGTGATGTATTTAAGGCGTTCAAGAAGTATGCAAAGCAAATCTAAAATAAAAAAAACCACTAAAAATTGCATCCATAAGAAGCGATCATGGTGGAGAGTTCCAAAATGCACCTTTTGATGAGTTTTGTGAAGAACATGGAATCTTTCACAACTTTTCAGCAGCAAGGACTCCACAACAAAATGGAGTGGTGGAGAGAAAGAACCGGTCTCTAATAAAACTTGCAAGAATAATGCTTAGTGATTTAAATCTTCCAAGTTTTTTGGGACAGATGCGGTAAGCACGACATATGTAAGTAATCGAGTTATTATAAGACCAATTTTGAAAAAACTCCATATGAACTCTTCAAGGAAAGAAAGCCAAACATTGCTCACTTTCACATCTTTGGATGCAAGTGCTCTGTCCTAAACAATGATAGGCGATCTCAGTGAGTTTGACGAGAAGTCCGACAAAGGTATTTTTCTTGACTATTCTCTTACTAGTAAAACTTATAGAATTTATAATAAAAGAACTTTAACTATAGAAGATTCAATGTATATTTTCTTTAATGAATCTAACACCTCTAAGGAGGATATAGTTGTTTGTGATGATGATGATGAAATTTTAGAAGTTTCTATGGAAGATGCTACCAAAGTCAATAATGTTGATCAAACGGAACACAAAGAGGAATCCATCCAACAAGAGTCAAATCAAAGAAATCTTCCTCAAGAATCGAGAACACATAGAGATCATCCTATTGATAAAGTTATTGGAGACATAAATCAAGGAGTATCCACTCGTTTGAATCTTAAAGTAACTTGTCATAATATGACTTTTGTTTCTTAAATTGAACCTTCTAAATTCAAAGATGCCTTAGATGATGACCAATGGATTCTATCCATGCAAGAGAAACTAAACAATTTGAAAGAAATCAAGTTTGGGATTTAGTTCATAGACCAAAAGGTAAACGTATTATTAGAACTAAATGGATTTTTAAAAATTAGCTAGATGGAAATGGTATCATTATAAGAAACAAGGCAAGATTAGTAGCCCAAGGTTATAATCAAAGGAAGGTATCGATTTTGAGGAAACATTTGCTCCTGTTGCTAGACTAAAAGCAATTTGTTTATTGTTAGCATATGCTTATTCTTTGTATTTTTAGTTGTACCGAATGGACGTCAAAAGAACATTCTTAAATGGATACATACTTGAAGAAGTTTATGTAAGTCAACCTCCAGAATTTGAAGACTTCAAACACCCTGATCATGTGTACAAACTCAAAAAGGGTTTGTATGGATTGAAGAAAGTACCAAGAACTTGGTATGATAGGTTAAGTACTTTTCTTTGTGAGCATGGTTTCGAAAAAGGTAAAGTTGATACTACTCTGTTTATCAAAATAATTAACTATCATACTATCTTAGTGCGAATTTATATAGATGACATCATATTTGGATCCACGAATGAATCTTTATATGAAAAATTCTCATCAATCATGCAAGGAGAATTTGAAATGTCCATGATGGATAAGTTGAACTACTTTCTTGGGTTGCAAATCAAACAAACAAAGAATAGGATATTCATCAATCAATCTAAATATTGAAAAGAGCTTCTCGAAAGATTTGACATGGATACTTACAAAGATATAGCGACTCGAATGAGATCTGACAGATATCTTGATCATGGAGAATCCGTAATTCCAATTGATATCACTAAATATCGAGGTATGGTTGGTTCTTTATTATATCTAATGACTACTCGACCTAATATTATGTTTAGTATATGTTTATATGCACGATTTCAAACTTGTCCAAATAAATATCATCTCACTGTTGTGAAGAGCATAATGAAGTATCACAAAGGAACATCCAATTTCGGCTTATGGTACCCCAAAGGTAGTGTATGTAGTCTTGTTGGTTTCTCTAATGCAGATTATGCAGGATGTAAGACGGACAGAAGAAGCACAAGTGGAACATTTCACATTTTTGGAAATTCCTTAGTTTCTTGGTCATGCAAAAAGCAAGCACGTGTTCTCTCAACACTGTAGAAGCAAAATATATTGCCTCTGGTAGTTGTTGTGCTTAGATGCTTTGGTTAAAATAAAAACTTCATGATTATGGTGTGATTCTAGGAAGCATCTCTCTCAAATGCAACAACAGTAGTGTAATCAATATTTCAAAAAATTTAATCATGCATTCAAGAACCAAGAATATTGATATTCGACATCACTTCTTAAGGAATCATGTTCTAAAAGGTGACATTGAAATTTCCTTCATTAATACCCAAAATCAACTAGCAGACATCTTCATAAAGCCGCTTCTAAGATACGTATTTTATAAAATCAAAAGAGATCTAGGCATTCTAAGCGAATGGGATATTTAATTAAGTCAAGACTATTGAAAATTTCATTTGAACTCATTCACAAAATCTCACGTGTCATTAACAAGGTACATATATTCTTCTTCGTTAAACTATATTTATCTGTATAAATATACTTGTTTATACTAATTTTATTGATTTTAATTAATATGATTATATTTTTATATTTGATTATATTGATTTTATTCACTTTATTACTTGTATTTTATTCTAATATAATGTGATTATGTGATTTAATTGAGATGATTGTCTTTCCATAATTTTAGTGTGATGCAATCGATTGCACCAATTGTGAAAATAAAAATAAATTGGCTGCAATCAATTACACTCTTGCTTCAATTGATTACAACTGTTTGTTTTTCTAATTTTTTCTTTTATTTTTTTCTGTCACGTGAAAATTTAATTCTTGGTCAAATAAGTCATAAACCCTAGCAACCCCCATGTGAATTTTCAAATTCTTACCCCCTCTCTCACATGCTAGCTTGTGCCCTATTTTGGTTCTTCAACTGAACCTGTTGAAATGAGTCGGTACCGCATTTTCATCTGCATAGAGTCGTGTGTCGGTCTCTGTGAGTTGCATGTAGACATTTGCGCATGATGTATGGTGAATAAACATGAATGTAGATGTTTATGTAGATTGTTGATAATTGGCATGAATGGAAGGCTTGAATATACATGTATGTGTGAATATATGTGTATATGTATGCATGTTTGTGAATTGATATAAACATCGTTGGTGCATATTGTATATGCTTGGTGCTCTATTTGTAAATAGTTAATTGTGAATACATTGGGATGTACGGTGTAGTGAGATGAGTTACAGTGAGAATGCGGAAGACGTTTTTGGACGTCATGTGTGTGCGTGTGTGTCTATATATATATATATATATATATATATATATATATATATATATATATATATATATATATATATATATATATATATATATATATATATATATATATATATATATATATATATATATATATATATATATATATATATATATATATATATATATATATATATATATATATATATATATATATATATATATATATATATATATATATATATATATATGTTTATGTGCATTATGTATTATGATATTGTTTCTCACCCTTCTGCTGTTTTATAATGCTCTATGAGGCATTGCAGATTAAATTGCTGGAGTCTTTGTGAAGCGAGTCTTCATTTCCTTGGGTCAGATGGCTTTGATATGTAACACTGGGTAGTTAGGAATTATTTTGATTCTTTTGTGATACATCTGTGTATGTATCTACTGATGAACGTTTTGTAAACTCAACCGATGAATTGAATTAATTTGAACGATGTATATGATGCTTATGTTAATGAAGTGATCTCAATGTTTAGATGTTTCCGCTTTATTCTAAATGTTGATGTGTGGGTTTTAAGCGCTATGCTTTGTTTTTAGTTGAGATTTACCCCTTTTGTTACATATCTTCGTGAGCTGGTATTATTGATGTTTCGTTTCGATGATAATGTGATGCGCCTCTTTTATACCATGTTATAATTATACTCTGAGAGATTTTTTTTCATTAAGTGCATAAATGATTTAATTGTTTATTTGGGGGTATAGAAAGGGGGTGTTACATTAAGTGGTATCAGAGCTAGTGTTGAGTCAGTTGTGTCTGTCTCATTGGTTTGTTGGTTGAACGGTTGTTTAACCTTGTTGTTATTTTTGGGAATAATCAGAATATGGCTGGTCGTAATGACAATACGATGGCTGCTGCATTGGAGGCAATGGCTAGGGCGGTGCAGGGTGCGCCAAATGTGAACGCTAATGATGAGTTTAGAAAGAATCAACCGCCGATATTCAAGGGAAGATTTGATCCGGACGGTGCTCAGATTTGGTTAAAGGAGATCGAGAGGATCTTTAGAGTTATGAATTGTGCTGAAGGGAACAAGGTGAGACTTGGGACTCACATGCTGAGAGAAGAAGTCGATGACTGGTGGGTCGGTATGAGACAAGTTCTTGAAGTAGACGATGAGGAAATCACTTGGGATTTATTTCGCACCGAATTTTTGAGAAAGTATTATCCTGAGAGTATGAAGGGAAAGAAGGAGATGGAGTTCCTGGAACTGAAACAAGGCAATAT